GTGCGTGAGTGCGTGCGTGAGTGCGCGCGTGTGTGTGCGTGTGCGTGTGGGTGTGCGCGTGCGTATGCATCTGGTTGTGCGTGTGAATATGACTGTGCGCTTGCGTGTGCTTGTCCGTGCGCGTATGTGTGTGTGCGTGTGACTGTGCGCTTGCGTATGCATCTACGTGTGCTTGTCCGTGTGAGTGCGCGTGTTATCATGCGCCTTCATTTATGTATGCCTCCTATATGTACATATATATACATTTATATATATGTATATATATGAGAGAGAGAGAGAGAGAGAGAGAGAGAGAGAGAGAGAGAGAGAGAGAGAGAGAGAGAGAGAGAGAGAGAGAGAGAGAGAGAGAGAGAAAGCGCGATAGAGAGAGCGAGATAGATATTTAAAAACAGATAGAAAGAGAGAGATAGACAGAGCGCGCGCGAGCGAGAGAGAGAATACACCCCAGTACGCACGCACAGAACTTCTAGAGTATGTTGTGCTGCTTGTGCGTGGCTGTTAGAGCTTGGAGTAATAAGCAGACTCGGAGTAGAGAGTATATTGTCGTCGTTCATTGTGTATTCAACCTTGACCAAATGGCAGTTAGTTGACCGCAAATGTTACTTAGGTACGTACATACTTACGTAACGTTTGTATTGCCGATTACCGAAATGCAAAATCTTCAAACAGCCCATCATGGCCGACAGTTCATCGTGTAGTCGTTGTCTGAGACCTTTAACGATAAGAACCAGTTACAACTGTTTTTTAACCTAAACCATCCCAATAAAAAGGCCAGAACTTTACTTATTATTAGTAACGTGATATACATGCATGTTTTACCGCCACAGTTCCGGCTTTAACCTCAACACTAGAATCGGCCTGACAATGCCACCCTTCCTCCCCATGCAGGCGAACGAAACAAGTACAAACCAATATATTGAGTAGCAATAAAATCTTGTATTTATGTCACAAATTTCCTGTCGTTACATGTATTCTGTGTGTATGCTGTGTGACAAGGTTGTTTACAATAATACACTGCAATAACAGGGCCGTAGCCTGCGGGGAGGGGGGGCAAGAGGGGCAGCTGCCCCCTAAATTTTGGAGCAAAATTACAAAAATAAATTGTTCTACTAAAGAAGAATTGTCGTAGTCAGAATGAAGGCTGTACATGTACTCAAAAGTGCCTCAAATACCATCTCCTGCTATCTACATTTTCAAAATTTTCTGGGGGAGGACCGACAGACACACCCCCACTTGTTTCTCACCCCCTCCTTGAAATCATGATTCTGCCACTGCCACCCCCCCTAGGAATTTGCTCAGCCTACGGCCCTGAATAATAACTGAGCCTAAAGTACACACTGGTGGGTCCAGGGGGTCGACATCGAGGCCATGTTGCCCCCTACAAGAATCCGTGAAGAAAACAAGTGAAGATACTGCAAAGAGGATATTTATAAGCATTTCAAATCTCCATTGTACTTATTGTATCCCGTATGTAGTACCTATTACTATTAGGAGCCATAGGTTTCTGCCTGAAGCACCAAAATGCATCGCTGGAACCAGCTATAAGTATAAGCCTACATTGCTCACCCAGACTCCCTCATCACTGGTTTTTACAATTTCCCTCCCCCCATTTCGCATTATTGGATATTCGAATGATGGTACAAGCTAGCTAAGTTTGTATAGTGCATCCTAGGTAAGAGCTATAAAACTAAGACTAAAAAAAAAAACACCAAGATAAAATAAGACTAGTTGAGCGTGTATAGTACATACTACATAAATTGATAGAAAAATCTAGGTAAGAGAGTACAGTACATGCTAGGCAAACAATGATATATGTAGTACATGCCAGCAAAGTAATAACGCATAAATGCATAGGTAATAACGATGAACTGATTAATCACAATAATATTAATCGGCAGACGTGTTTGGAGTTTTGTGTGTTATTACGTTCGCGTACGATAACATGCAATATAACGTCGCACCAACATGCGTGAAATGAGATTGCTTATTTATGATATGCGTCTACAGTTGACGTCCTTCATGCAGCTTGATTCCGACGCGCGTCCATCGATTGTCATCTGCGTCACATTGTCATCATCGTCGTCGTAGTTGACGATGTCGTCGTTGTTGACGATGTAGTCATCGAGTAGCGCCCTCATTTCTTCGGAGCGAGCGAGTGCGCGGCAGCGAGCCATGCCTGCCATCTCCGACCGCTCCAGTAGCGAACCTGCGGGAGAGAGAGAGACGGCAGGTTCAGTACAACATTTCTACCACAACGTATTAGCCAGCGAGCCGTGCAGCTGTGATTTGCACGTGCAGTTTTGAAAGGCTGCACAGCCAAAAAAAATAAAAAAATTGAAGATTTTTACAATTTTCCGGGGGCCTCTCATACCCTCCCCCCCCCAATGAGAGGGGGAACACCTCTCATACTCTCCCCCTCCCCGTGAACGCCTACGACGGTCTTGGCTGAGACACACACAAAAATTGCACTCCTACATATTTTTTCTGCACTCCCACAATACTCATTCCTGGATAATACCCTGTTCTACCGCCTCGACGAATTTCTCGTCCGAACAAATCAAATCGGGATGCAGTCTGACACTGACACACACCTCTGCTCGGATTACAGGTAGATTTGCGTCAGTGACGCATCGCCATAATCGCCGTTCATCTGTTCACGTGGGAGCAGAAATGTGTTCACGGTGTGGTACATCTTAATGTGGCGGCATACATGTAAATCGGAATCGTTGCACTGCACAAAATCATGTCAGTAGTACCACTGCAGTTCCACGTATACTTGCTTAGATAAATCACACACGCGCCCACGCACACGCACACACGTGCACGTACGCACACACACACGCACGCACGCACGCACACACATACACGCACATACGCACACACACACACACGCATGCACACACACACGCACGCACGCACGCACGCACGCACACACACACACACACACACACACACACACACACACACACACACACACACACACACACACACACACACGCACAGACCTGCATGCTTGAGTAGCAGGCGCGTGATGGAGAGGTGATTGTTGATGATGGCGTCGTGTAGCGGTGTGACACCCTCCGCGCTGACCGCACTCACATCCACTCCGCCCGACCCTGCAAATAAATCACCGACCCCTCATCATCTCCACGTCCACAATCTACAGCTAGCACACACCCAACTAACACGTTGAATTCGCTCCGGATCGCTACGACCTCGCCAGAAATAAATTACCAATATACTAATTATACTAAAATTACTAATATAATCAATAAATGAGTTACATTCACAAAATGGTTGAGCGCACAAGCAAACATTGTATTAAATCACTAGGAATATAGTCAAACTTGTATATAAGGCCAAACAAAAAAATAGGTGTTTCCGGTCGACCGACCGTCCCTAGATTATTAGGGCCGATCCTAAACTTTTTTTTTTCATTTGAAATCTGACAGACAAAACTAGAGATTTTTTACTACAAACACGTTCTGGACTTGCTTACTAACTTATCCCTACCTATACACCACTTTATAGCATGCATCAGAGGGATATTAGGAACCGAAGAATAAAAAAAAAGTAAAAAAATAACTAAAAATCCCTACCTACCTACTCTACTTTTGTTTTCGATGCAATAGGAAACACACCTATTTTTTTGTTTGGCCTAAGGGACACTCAAGGGGAACGCCAAGTTCTGCCAATTTAAAAACTGTCGAAAACACAAAAAATTTCCTTTATAGTGACAGCTGTCCGTTATACAGAGGTGATAACTAGAACAGGTTCGACTGCATAGTAATCTACATTAGACTGTTAGACAATCGCGTGCACGCAGAACGACCGATGCGAGTCCTGCGCGCGGAAGCGGACATGGTACGGTGGCGCCACCTGGATGATCGCGTGCGTAGTCGAGCAGCCTCGCGACGCAGCGCGCGTTGCCGTGGTTACAGGCCTCGTGTAGCGCCGTCCAGCCGGCGTTGTCCTGCGCGTTCACGTCGACATCCGGCCGCGACAGCAGCTCGTCGACGGCGGCGACGTCACCGCGCATACAGGCGCGCTGTAGCGGTGTCTCACCTGCAAATTATACACATTGTTTACACGCGTTAATTAGCAGCGGCGGCGTGGTGACGTTACAACACGTGTTACACCACGTGCAGTGGCTCGATCTCAATGTACAGGTGTGAAAACAATCTATTCAGCCATCCTTTCATCCGTCCATCCCATCCCTCTATTTATCCAGCGGTCGGTCCGTCCATCCGTCCATCTGTCTGTCCGTCCGTCAGTCTGTCAGTCCATCGGTTTGTTTGTCCGTCCATCAGTTTGTCTGTCTGTTCGTCTGTTCATCGGTCTGTTCGTCTGTTCATCGGTCTGCCCATCCATCCATTCATCCACTCATTACTCCTTTCAGCCATCTATGTATTCTCCTACAAATATCTCGTTGTGTTAAAAATTCTGCTAGATGCACACGATGCTTTGTATGAGAAAAAATACCTTTCCAGTTTCGTTTGTTGACATTAACGCATTTCCTCTTGGCTTCGGAGACGTCGGAAGCGCACCACAAACCTTCTGCTGACCTTTTTATAATTAACCTTGTTTCAACGCCTCGCTCAGGTGGTGGACATCTTTCGACACTGGAGGAATCTGTCAAGTCCTAAAATAAACAAGTAACACGTTCCTAAAATGCTTTTTTAAATGCCATACTTTACGTGGCAAGTATTACGCTATACCAGCAGCAAACGACGTCACGCGAATAGGCTCCAGACTTTCGCTGAAAAAATTTCGCTTAGTCTTGCACTTACCGATTTCCGTTTCTGATTGAATCCTCCCTTGTGCTGCCTCCTATAGCGCTCAGCTAACATGTCTGCTGCATTTGCACGTACCCACAGACACTCTATCGATGCTAGCGCCCTCTGCATCACAGTGTGTTGACTCGACGGGATCGCATCTGAAAGAATACTTTTAATAACACGTCTCGCCAGCAGCAGTAACACCAGCAAGCACCGAGCCATGACGCGCACATGCATTTCATTTATACAAGATGTTATCCAGTTATCATGGCATCAATCGATTTTCAACCCTGAGCCCTACTATCTAACTCCGTAGAGCCACGCGCGATAGTCCATGAAAATAGAAAACTTCTCTGTTTATGTAACCATTTCTGTCTCATTCTGTCTCACTTTCTATTCATCTCTTTATGTTCTTCTCTCTCTTTCTCTCTGACTTCCCCCCCCCCTTCGCTTCTCGTATTCTCTGTTAAAATCTATTTACATCTGTATCAAATGCTAAAAGCTACATTATGTAATATATAAGGTCATCGAGACATATTGCTGCTGATGTCTCCCCCCAATGCAGCACTCACGGTGTAACATGGTCACTAGCTCCCGCGCGAAGTGCATCGCACGAGTGCCGACGCCGCGCCGCGTCGCCTGGTGATGCTGCTGCTGCTGCTGCACTCGCGCGTTGTCCGTCCTGATGCAACACTCCGCCGCCATGGCAACCAGCTTGCCGATCAATCGTAGCACTTCTAGCTAGAGATTGCAAGGGGATGTGAAGTTGTAAAGAAAGGATATACTGTTGCACGTAAAGGCAGCAACGTCACATATGTCACCGGCACGTGTGCGATGCAAAACTATGGTTACAAAGTATTTATTTAATTCATTGCACAACTAAATAAAATATAAATGGTACACACAATATAAATATAATAAGATATATATATAAAACTAAGATGACTTCTAATATAACTTGGCATATATCAAGAGCTAATAATACCTAGAGTGTACAACGAAAAAACGGGAAAATAGTGCTATTTCACGACATGATTATTCTACTTTGCCTGCGAGTCTGAATAATTTTATGGTATTGCATTAAGCAGAATTCTTTGCTCTCTAAACAAGACCAACTGCTTGTCAATACGATACTCCTAGCTGAGATATTGCGTCCTAAACTCTCCTCCCCCATGTCCTCACGACGGCCTCGCATCCAGCTTATTCAGCAACTAACCGCCTCTAAGCATTTTGGCTATCGTTTTCCCGTCGCCGCTTGAGCGCCTGATAACATTATGTCAGCATGCCCAAATTTGGTACTCTTACTAGCTGCGTTGTAGAGACTTAATTAAAAAAACATTGCCGGCTCCATCATGACGGGCATTAGCCATGCTAGGAAAGATAATGGGAGATAAGGGCATAGGCGATGCCCCCGAAAGTCACCTATTATAACCAAAACTCCGTTCATTCATAAAGTTATCGCGAAAAAACCGAACTCTCGCAAAGCAACCTTAGCGGCGAGAAGGATGCTGACTGAGTTGGATTCGAGGCGCCGTGAGGCCTGTGGGAGGGGAAGTTTACGAGCCAATATCTCAGCCTAGGAGTATCGTATTGACAAGCGGTTGGTCTTGTTTTAGAGAGCAAAGAATTCTGCTTAATGCAATACCATAAAATTATTCTAGACTCGCAGGCAAAGTAGAATAATCATGTCGTGAAATAGCACTATTTTTCCGTTTTTCCGTTGTACACTCTAGGTATTATTAGCTCTTGCATATATGTATGTAGATATTTATCATTTTAAATAGGCAAGAATTTCATACTTATTCATGATAAGAACCGTTTTTATAACTACACATACAGACATGCATACACATCATCACAGTTAGAGTTAATAATGACAATTTTTTTTACAACGTTTGTCATTATTATCTCCTGACATCTTGTAGAGCTTTACATACGAGATGTAAATCGATGATGGACGTCGTATCTGGAGTGGATGACTGGAAGACTGGAATTGTCATTTCGCCCCTCCATCAATTCGATTTATTTAGTTTCACTTGTATTAATTTTATTAGCATTGTCTCTTAACTTGTTAAACTAATAAGCTACCTCCACGATGTAATTCATAAGTGTAAATAAAGTAAATTGTGTGAGTAAACCTACCTGCGTGCGTGTGTGACGCGCGCACGAGCAAGCATCCGCATACACCTGTAGCAGATCACGTATGCGCCGGTTCACACTTCCCGACTCGCTGCTAGAACGCCACAGCAGCCGTTCAAACATCGGAGCGCTGCGACAGAGAAAGATACGGTGCAGTGAACAAACGTTTCCTCACACACGGTAATTACAGCTGATAGGGTCTATGTGCCCCAGGGTACTGCCTGAACGTACCCTGGTACTATCTAATATGCCGGACCGTACCTCGCCCACTCCACTAATGAGTCTAGGGAGTCGCCTACGCCTGCTCCCTAACCCTAACCATATCAGATAGTACCAGGGTACGTTCCGGTATACTAGACCGTACCCAGGGTACGTTCTGGCAGCACCCAGGGGGACATAGACCCTATCAGCTGTAATTACAGGCCCCGCGATTCATCGCTCTTTGTGCCCCTCATCTATTGTGGAGAGGCTTCCCTGTGGATTTTGCGTAGTTGACATGAAAAAGATAGTGATGGACTTTTAGGATTGTAATAAACATTTATGAACATATACTTTTACATAGAGTCCTGCTTATATTGATTGTTATTTAGGCATTAAAAACTTCCCAGGTTTTCCAACCTCGTTCCCAACTATTCCACAAACACACGACAACTATTAGATGTTAAGAACACGAAAGCCTCGTGCTGCCAACAGAGGATGCGCATGTCATTGACAGCTCGCATTGATTCTTAGTGTTGCTATAGCAACTATCAATGCTTCTGATCCATCAACTGTGCCTCGGTGCAATAGTGAAATTCACGCCCAGGTGCCAATTGTTTAGCAACACCACATCACTGCACACCACTGCAATCACTGCTGAGTACTTCACTTTCAAATTATGACACTACAAACTTATGACGTCATATAATGCCACGTGATGTCATATGCCACGTGATGTCATATGTCACGTGATGTCACATGAATTACCTCGCAGACACGCACCTGTGCAGATGCGTACCTGCAGACACACAGTGATGACGCGCTTACCTTGTGCCGGCAGCGACTAGAAAGTTGGTCTCGAGGAGCTGCGTGAGATATGTGAGCAAGCGAAGGTTGTTCTCATGGGCCAGCTTCGTCACAATGCCGTCCGACAGCACGACACATGCCCTGAATAACGATGAAATAATAATGAAGATAATAATCATCATAATAATAGGAGTGAATAAAAAAACTCAAAAATTATTATAAACAAAACAAAGAAATTTAATAAAATAATAATAATAATGATGAAAACAAAACACGTCAGCACGGCTCAGAGCGACCATTGCGAGATATGGAATCCGTGTGCGGCCGTGCAGACGCTAACACACGCGCACGTACGTACCTCACCACCGACAACATGAAACTCCAGTGAGGTTCGCCGCAGCTCTCCGGCGGGGACGTGTCGGTGGGAGCGAGCGACTGCGTGTAGACGTCTACGAGCGTTGCTGTGACGGGTGGATGCATGTCGAGCACATGCAGCAGCGTGCGGTAAGCACGCAGTGATGAGTGGGCGTCGCCCGCCTCCTACAACACAACACACGACAAGTAATGCGACTGTAACAAAAAACACGAAACAAACACACCCAGACAGACACTGTGTGTAACAGCAGACACTTCTATAGGGCCATCCTTAAAAAATTATATGTTTGCTGTCCTCCGACCGACCCACGAAAATAGCCGCGACCCAAAAGTTTTTTTTGACATTTTGGGTGCCATTCTTTTTTTTGTTTCTGTTACATTCCTCATAGTTACGACTGAAACACAAAGCATGTGTGGCAAACATGAGGACAAACTTAAAATAACTATTATGGCTCACAAAAAAAAGAAGACCTATCTACCTACCCACTAAAAAAATAATGGGTCGGGGGACAGCAAACATAGAATTTTTTAAGGATGGCCTAGAACGAATCCCAGTCTGTAAAGGTCAGAAGGCGGTTATCTTGACAGAGAGTCATACCCCGTGCAGACTGCAAAATTCGATCCCACATCAAACTAGTCTGGATTTAGGCATTTCCCTCATGTGACCCTTAAGTTATTGTTACAGGTTTAACTGATGATATCTCGAGCTATACATAGGATTTATGGGTAGGGCACGGCAGAATACAAGGTTGGGAAACCACAGTGGTTTAGGATTGTGGACGTCGGCCGGATTTTCGAGGTACCATGGCGAGTAAGGAGGGTAACCACAGCAATAGAGGAAAGAAACCATGGCAAGAAGGAAGGGTAGCCACGGCAAGCAAGGAGGGTAACTACGACAAGCAGGGAGGGTAACTACGACAAGCAGGGAGGGTAACCCGGAAAAGTAAAGAGGTCAAGCATGGTAAATGACGTGGGCAACCACGACACAAACCATCAATGACATCGCGAAAATACCTGTAAAATCCGTCTCATCGTGACACGTAGCAGGCTGGAGGGAGGGTGACTAGACGATGACAGGAATGTAAGAATGAGATCAGAAGCAGCAGCCCAGCATTCTTCGTCCAAGCATGACTCTACCATCGCGACCTTTGCCGGTGTATATGGTTCCACCTGCAGGAGGTAAAAACAACATATCATCAGCAATCGGCACAACACGAGTGGTATTATGAGCGGTTCGATTAGTTGTCTCTTCTTTCCGTGAATGAAGCTCATCGGATATCAATCAGATATCAAATCGTGTTCACAGACTTTATCTGAACATTGTAAATTTGGGTTACTATTAACTCTTTACTTGGTTAATGTCTGTGAAATGTGGTTGATTGTATTTACTTATTTTACTATCTAATTGCTGTGTAAGCAGTGTATAAATATTCATAAACTTGATCGCTTGACGGTTCTATTATTCACCCACAAGGGTCGACATTACAAAAAGGCACTTCTTTGACAAGCAGGATTAATAGAATGCCCTTATCACAACACTGATTGGCTATAGCTACCTGTCAATCACACCAGCCACATAGATCAATTAGTACTACAGAATTTAGCACTGTCTTCTCATAGCATAACCCAGACCTACGCAATGCTAATAAACTAAGCAACTCAATCACATATCCCTATATCCTCAGCTCATATTTGCTCTCACCTCTTTCCGCACATTTGACTCTTCTTGATAGTTGTACGGCAGCAGCGGTTTTGCTGGCGGACCAAGACTGAATCGCGTGCAGTTCTGAAAGAAACATGTACCCAATAATTACATCTAATAATTAATTTCTCATAATTAATGTATTGATGTAATCAAGCAGAACTGATTGCTCCTGGAGTCGCCTTCCCCGCTCACTCACCTGCTGCTGATGAAGCCTGCTATATCGCTGTAACATCGCAAGCATCGGCGACAGGCGATCAGTGGCGCTCTCTTGCGGTGCGACGGTGGCGCCCTCACGGCTCCCTCGCGGAGATTCTCGCTCCCGACCGTGCGGCGATTGCAGAGTCCCTCGCTGGGCGGCGTCCGTCGAGCCGCGCGCACCGATCTCACGCCTGCCTCGAGACTTCCCTGCAACGTTCGCGTCGCCGTGCCGACGTGCGGAATCCGTTGCCGCAGGCACGCGACGGGACATCTCCCCGCCGTCTCCCGCGACTGCATCTGTACCCGCAGCCGTCGTCGGTGCCATGCTGGGACCGGCGTCACGCGACGCTGTCAGACCCGGTGGTCGCTGTTGCTGACGGGACGGCCGAATGCTGGTCGACGGGCGTCCTCGTCGTCGCGGCGACGCATCGCAGGGACATGCGACCACGCGGCCAGCGCGCGCGCGTCTCCCCGTCGTCGTGGTAACGCCGTGGCCCGCCCCATCGTCGGATGCACGCGACAACGCAAGCACGCTGCCTCGACTAGCAGATTCGGAGATGGTCGCCGCGTCCTGACCGGTGACGGCTGCCGAACGCGGTCGACTCCCGCTCGCGAAAAACCGACGGATGTCCTGGCCTCCCGCGGTCGGCGCGCCTCGATCGCGGGGAGGTCTCCCCCTCCTGCGCCGCACAACCACCTCGGGTCCTCCGTTGCCTGCCGCCAGCGGCCGGGAAGGCAACCGCGTCGTCTCGCGTCGTGCGGTGGCAGGATTCCAATGCAGCAAGTACGTGCCAGATGGCGTTGCCGGCTTAGCCGAGGCTTCTGCAAGACAAGGACAGCAGATTTAAACACGTGTGCAGTTCGATACGGTGGTTATTATATCAAGCCATAACAGCTAGTGAAGTGATGTAGGTACAGGGTGTGAAATTCAGATTTTTTGCACTGGCCCAAACAGCAATTTTTTACCAGCCCTCACCATAATTTACCAACCCTCACAAATTTTGTTTGTAAAATCAATGTCATGTTTCACGCTTGCATTCTCGATTTCAAATTTGTAAACATGTTGATTAATAATTATTATGGCGTGATAACAGTAAACAGTAATGTAGGCAATTTGCTCATTAATCATGTTAATGCTATAAATAAATATATGTAGGTACTCGCAAACACGGCTGAAACCACCGGCTCCGAGGGCCGGTGCTTTGCCAATGTTACCGGCCCTCCAAATAATTTGCCAGCATATGCCGGTGGGCCGGTGCTAATTTCGCGCCCAGTAGGTATCACACCAGATCGATGAAATTTAAGCCATTTTGTCTATCAATACGAGAATACATGGAAGCATAGCAAGTAAAAGCGAATCAGGCTGTGAGATTACTTGAAGTAGCGATAGACTAGTCCTGCATGATGCATGTACACACACACCCCTGTGCTTCTCACAGTTCATGCCTTATCATCAATCATAGCAAAATTCATCCCTGCACCCCTTAAATGCTTTCTCAATTGCAGTGAAACAACTCATCCACCTGAGAGGGTCTGTGAGGGAGAAGCAAAGAGCATTTTGGAGATGCACAGCGTGCAATCTTACAACTTATTTTAAAATCTGTCAATGAGAGACAAAATTGAAAGCCAGAGCATTCTCGTGCATAGTTTACATTACAGCCAATCAGATATTTTTTAACAGACACTTTTTAAATGACGCATGGATCGCATTGCTGCTAAGGACAGATTGTAAATCACAGGATGCTGCTGGGAACAATAAGTAATGACTTTTGGCTGCCATTCAATTGCCACTTCCAACTATAGCCACACAGTGCATAGTCCTACAAATGCAAGTAACCAGATGTGAAAGCTCTACAGTGAAACCTGTGTTAGCGCACACCTGCATAGAACTAACACCTGTCCACGACGGACACTTTACGCATTTCCCTCGAGTGACCCCTTATATACAGACTCGACTGTACAATAACTTATTATGTACAGCTATTAGTCAGTGTTCTGTGACAGGACAAGCTGGGGTCAAGACGCCACTGTTTTTGCTGCTGTTCTATTTGTGTTTGTGTTTGTGACGCGAGGACACCGCTGCGTTTTGTCACCTCGTTGCGGATTGACAATCCGTTGTGCCTCAGCAAGGGGTCGTGGCGGAGGAGTCCTGCTTTTATCGCCGGCCGAACCCGGTCGCGACGCGTCTCTCGCTGCCATCACGTCTTTTAGCAGCACCACGACATTGCCGAGCTTGGGGTCGACGTGCGCCGCCGCCTCCTGGCCGAGTCGTGGTGGCGCGCGCGCGACAAGAGGCGCGTCGCGTGAAGTCGCGCGCGTAGCAATCCGGAGAGCGGCCACGTCCACCGGCGCACCCTGGAGGACGTCACAGACAAATGGAGACACAGTTACTAGTAGTGATGTCACGATCATCGGTTTTTTTTTTAATTTGAACAAGAAAACTTGGAAAAGTGATGAGAATCAGCACATCATGACATGTATTATACACACAGTAGTAAACAGGGCTAAACAAGCACATACATGCACACACGTACATGCACACGACGTTACGCACACGCAGGCATTCAACACCCCGAGTAACCGATTGTAACCGATCATCGGTTACTTGGGTCCAACCGATGATCGATTACGAAATTACAACCGATTGACAACACTAGTTACTACAGCACTAGTAGTCAGTAGTCTGAACATCTGCCTTAAACTATGTAAACCTAGAGTAACCACACAAAATGCAGGAATGCCTTAATTTCCAGCCGTTGTTTACTTTTGACAATCCTAACACATTCGTGCCGCGCTTTAACAGGTTGATGTATACGGCACCTGTGTATTAGGGCCACTTATAACATGCGCAACTGACTCCAATTAGCAACTGGAGAGATGAATTACTCGTGTGCCCGACATGCCTCCTAAAATTCCTGAGGAGAATCCTGAGGAAGTAAAAATATATATACACCGTGCTTGCATGCGTGCGTCTGCATGTCTGTGTGCGTGTGCATGTATGTGTCTGTGTGCGTGTGCATGTATGTGTCTGTGTGCGTGTGCATGTATGTGTCTGTGTGCGTGTGCATGTATGTGTCTGTGTGCATGTGCATTTATGTGTGCGTGTGCATGTATGTGTCTGTGTGTGTGTGCATGTATGTGTCTGTGTGCATGTGCATGTATGTGTGCGTGTGCATGTATGTGTCAGTGTGTCTGTGCCAGTACCATACCTTGAGCACATACTCGGCTATATACTCTGGCCGGTAACATCTCGCTGGCTGGCAGCGCAGCAACGACGACATCGACGACACCATGCTGCTACTAATGAACACGTGCGTCACACCATCGCACAGCTGCCGCGCTTCGATCGGCAAGGCTGCGACGATAACCTCAGCACCTCCAATTTCCAAGAGGCTGCAAGTGAAACGCAGGAAAAAATTCGTTTCCACAAAAATACTCGAAAAAGTCCGAAAGTTTCCGAAGTCGAGTATCCTTAGTTTCTCCAAAAAGAGTCTTTTCTACCGACACCTGTCATGCATAGATAACATTGCTGTGGACAAACGTGTGCGTGCGTGTTTCAGAGGTATTGTTGCTAGACTCATAGACTCCTGCTAGCATATGACACACCAGGGATGATGCCTTGATGACAAAACACGTGCAATTGAACAATTGCTTATCCTAAATGAGTTTACCTTTGCTTTTTCGACCGTAACTTCACCACATACACCAGAGCAGTCGCGCTGCACACGTAAAAATTCTCGGTGGCATTTCATCACTTTCAAGCTTACTCGGTACTACGATTTCATATCAACTTTTTTTCCACACCTACTCAGTACTACAACTTTTGCCCACTCAGCTCTGCCTCACCGCTTATAGCCAGCCGTTTTCTCTGCATTTCCACTAACGATGGCAGCCCGCCAACTGTGAAAGATCGTCTGCTTCTGCCTAGTAACAGCCAGGCGTCTGCGATGGGGGGCGTCATATAGCCATGCTGGTGCCACCTATGATTCATGAAGACAGACATATAAGAAACTAAAGTGATATCGGAAAGTCCAGCTGCGTTACTTAGGTCATAGAACAAGGGGTATAAAATGACCGAGGCGCGCTTAGGAAAGTACATGATTAATGTAAACACTCGTGCGTTTTTAGTTTTTGCATTTACACAAACATTGCAAAATATCCCAAATGACCACAATCATATTTGTAAATGTTTCTGTAAACAGAAACGCACCTGTAAATTGAAGTACGATGTTAGTGACGAGAATTATAGATCAAAAACCTAGACTAGTCCTATCGTAACTATGTTATATATAGGCAACTTATCACCCCCCCCCCCTTATCTGATCTCAATATGGCGGCGGGGACTTTTCGATATGGCTTATTACTGAATAAGCAAAGCATTGAACTTGAGATACCCTCATTAACTCTGACCAGACATCTGGAATATATACAGGATAGGTTGTTGTTAAACATGCATATCTATGTATGGCAAGTAACTGTATTTGATGCAGTGTATAAAAACTGCCTGACCATTGAAACTGCCTGAAATTGACCTATGTATCTGAGCGAGGAAACAACGTCCCCATAAGTAGTGACCAGTGCACTGAAAGACATGGATAAGAAACTACCTGTTCGTATTTTTCATCAGCTTTCCACTCATACGGTGCTTCGTCTAACCAGGTGCCTTTTGCGATGCAGTCGTACAGGTACTGAGTGCGAAGAATCCAAATGCCTACGAACAAAAAAACGGATGCATTTGAATTTTTATGACGAGACGCACTGCATAATCGAACATGGGTCTAAATCCTAAGGGACCCACGGTTCCGATGCCCATATTTTAAGGCTCGGGCCTGACATTTCTAATACTAGCAAACCCGACGGGCCCGTAGAAAATCCACCCCCAGCATGCAAAACAATCCCCGGAATGCCAGCGAGGATGCAAAGTTACCCCAGTATCGCTCACTAATAGTCACTGAATATGTTCTTTGTATTACTGTAATTTGTAAATAAACCATAATTGTAAAAATTTCAAATATCAGTCTTTAATTTATTATTTAAGCGGTATCCGGGTAATGATGCGGGCCTGTAATTTGCCTAGCGGGCCTGTAAAGTCTCTTACCTACAGGCCCGGCTGGCCTGTAAACTAATTTCTACCCCTGACAAAGCTTGTGATATTTTAGGACAATGCAACGACGATGTACGACTTCTTACTCAGGGCTTTAGTCACAGCAGCTGCCAACACCTACATGCCACCTAGAACCTGATGATGAAAGCATTTACTATCCCTAACAATAGAAATTATTACCTCACTTAATGTTACCACAAGGCGATACAGCGTCAAATAAATGAAAGTTATATACTGTTTGAGAAGTAACAGATGCATTTGTTACTTACCCAGAATGCATGAGCCAAGAAATTTTTCGCTGCGGGTGGGCCTGGCACATAGCAGATGTGTCGTGACTGGCTTAAAGCTCTGCGAGAAGGAATTTTGGGATTTAGCACGTGAGACGAATGCAGAGCTGCAATACAGAGCACTAGGCAGATAGCAGGGTGCAAAATTAACAGAAGTCCGGAGTCAAATACTCCCTGATTTACTGTCGGACTCCCTGATTTGACATATGCAGGAGTCCATGTGACTCCCTGAAAATTCTGCCATACTAACTAGTTCGTTCCGGAGCACGGCCTCACAGAATTACCGTATTTTTTCAGCTAATGATCAAAGAAATTTTGGCAGACGTGCAACAGCATGAATCTTAAAAATAAGCACATACGTTATTGTTAATATATTTAATTTTGAACCTCAGACTGTGGACTCTCTCATTTTGCTGCGGACTACCTCTTTTTGAGGGTAGGGGGTCCGTTGGACTCCCGTGTTCAAAAGTCAATTTCTACCCCTGAGATAGCATTGCTTTTCATTCGATAACCAAGTTTTCATTACTTGGCCTAGGTTGAGCAAGCTGGCATATGCATGGCTAATTCATTGTGTGGCATTGTTTGTAGAAATGCTGCTGTGTGCACAATTAAAACATATAAAGCCCATTTGCAATAAAGTTTAGTTCAGGAATAAAAACTTCTGCTATAGAGCATATAAGTTGAATTAAATTCACTAGCTGAAACCCGCGCTACG